CGTAGGCTGGCTATGGGAAGGAAGCACTCTATATGCCAGGTTTCACGCATGAACAGACAATAGGTCACGAACGACTTGATATTCTGATTTGATCTCCTCATGTTAGTTCGAATGGGGGTTGACGTAACTTAAACATTCACATTACTGATATTTCTCACTGCATGGTACATTAGAACACAACGACGGGTTGTTGTTGCACGTGCGTCTTCTGGCACATTGTTCGGAGCCAGAAACTATGATGGAGTTGTAAACTTGCGGAGAAATTAGACCGTCACTACAAATATAAGTGACACTTACATCACACGTCCGAGAAAGTTTGTAGCAAATTGAATATATGCGAACTTTAAGCTGACGTTGCTGATGTAACACTACTTCTTGTAACATTGCTCATGTTTTCAAACAAAAAAAATCTGGATAGACAAGTTTTGAGTACCGATATCACGAGATAGTAAGATAGTAATATTGGAGTTCACATAAATGTTTTATTGCCATCCAAAGTGGAGTCTTTGCATGGTCAAGAAGTACTACAATGATGACTGATATGCAGTCATATTTGAAGAACTTAAAAAAGCTAATCAGTTCACAACAAGATTTCTAAACTATCATCTTAAGATTTATATTTTTTCTCTCATACATCATTCTGGTTTCTAAATTAGGCAGTATTCAATCTCGGGTTCCGATCGGGTCGGGTCCGGTTGAAGGTCAAACCGAACCCGACCCGAAAAACCGGGTCGGATTCATTATCGCGAGGGGACGGCGAGTGGAGGAACTGAGAGGGAGAATCGGTACATTGGAGCTTCGAGTATTTTCTTGACGAGGAGGCCATGCGAGAAATTATCGACGAGGTAGGACGAGAAGAATATGTACCGCAGAGCGCCCCAGCTGGACTCAGAAGCGAGCGAGCAAGGGAGCGGGTGCCTGCATCGCATCGACCGAGGTGCGCAGCAGGCAGGACGAGGAGGAGTGCCAAACACGAGAGGAGGAGCAGAGTTTCATAATACTAACATTTCCCACTGCAATGTACACTAGAACGCAACGACGAAGTTATTGTTGCAAGCGCGTCTTCTGGCACATTGTTCGGAGCCACAAACTATGATGAAATTGTAAACTTGCGGAGAAATTAGACCATCACCACAAATATAAGTAAAGAATATTCTCGATGCAGAGAAATCTCAAATTGATTGCTGACATCCATCTAAGATATACGGATCACATAACGGTCCATCCATGCATTCAGCATCCATAATGGACTCTGTTGGCGTGTAACAAACCCGGATTCGCGTATCTGTTGACTTCATGAAGCAAGGAGCAGGACACAAGAATATTGTCATCAAGAGAAGAGGAACAATTTACTTTTCCTTCTCTCTCTTTCTTTCTTTTGGTTTTTGGGCCTACGCCTCAAGTGAACCTGACTGAAGACGGTCTTGTCTTGTGGACGGGAGCTGGAGTAAACTAGTTTGGTACAGTCGAATAAGCCAACGATACGATATTTCTAAACTGCGATGTGGTTGTGACTTTGTATCTGTAGGTTGGACCTGGTTTGACTTCAGGGTCTTAAAGCGGAACAAGTGGTAAGTGATGAAAACTGGGAAGAGGCTGATTAAGTTGGGCCGTCGGGCAGACCTCTAACAGGTTTGCGTGACACTACAAGGTTCTAAATCCAGGGGTTAGGGGATCTTGACGTTGCACAAACTCTCAGACAATCCGACCCATTGAATTGCAATTTCAGCCGGGCACTCGAGCCTGTCGCAGGTCTCTTCTCCGCACAGCGTCGTTTGTCGTTGTTTTGCAATGCCAGCAACGCGAGCACCGAGAGCGCAAGCAGACCCACTAGATATCTTCTGCGGTTCGTCTTCATTGTTCGCGCACCACATTGTTTCCACCAGTCTGAATTCTGATCCCCTCTCATGTTTGACCGGCAAGGACCACACATGCCCTGGCGGAAACTCGACTTTGTTTCGAAAACGGTGGCCGGTGGATGTTCTCTCCGTTTGCAGAAAGGTCGACGTCTTGAGATTTCGAACACAGATCGATCATACTCCGAGAATCAGCAACGTTATCTACGTATCTTTTTTTGTTGGGTTTGGACAGAGATGTCTCGGAGTGCAAGCATCCGGGCTACTACTAGCTCTCTCCGTTCACTTGAGCCCTGGGGCACACTTCCCCCTTTTTCTTCTGACTACTACCCAGACAGTCAATGCATATATGCACGTTTCCGAAGCGCAGTGAAGCGAGCGTGATTCATTGTCGTCTATGCCCAGTCCTTGCCTGCTGGATAATACCGGGAATCGCTTAGGACTCGGCTCAAAGTTTTCTTCACATAACCGAAGACGATGTCTTCGTGTTCACTCCCTGGGGGAGGGATTACTTCGTCGAAGAAATTCCCCCTCCTGGCAACGTCACTCACGAAAGTATACTCCTCCAGCTGCAAGTTGGTAATCTGTTGAATGCTATTCCGTCCAGACATATAGAATTGTTTTCCTCGTAGACCCATGTTGGTCAAAATTCAGTTGGTGTCTGTTTCAGCTGACTACTGACTTTCCACATCCTGTGCGAAGCGATACCCACCTTCTCATACACGAGCCATGTATACACACACTCCTTCTGCCTTGGCAATTCATATCGTTGATAGCAAATGCTTCCATCCAAGCTTTGCCTCCGAGAAACAACAAAAGAATACACTCAAATCCTACTGTTTTTACGTTACATCATTAGATTAGTCGTGCAGAGGGACACAACTCAAAACATGACATAAGAAGAAATCAAATTAATGTCTACCCCATTAAGTCTTGAAAAGAAGAAATAATGCTTAGTGCTTCTCAGTGGCTAGTTCCCGAAACTTCACGACGGTATGTTAGAAGGTGAAAGGATCAAAATAAGCTTTTACAGCTATCACTTGGGTTAAATAAACGTTCATAATACATAAGAATTTGTGCATGAATGACAACATCTTTTGGAATATTGCAGGTGTCCTTAACAGCTGCCCCATGATAGTATTATGCTGTTACAGATCGAAATGCATAGTTCTGCTCGTCTCTTCTATTGCAGCTGCCAATTTTGATTCCGTGTACAAGCGAAATGTGATTTACGAGCACATATGCTGTCAGGGTATCACGCAAACCTTCGTTGACGTCATTCGTTCAGAGGAGAACTTAATGACGCGTAGCACCCGGTTACTGTGATACCTGACGAGGGAGTATCTGGATTAGTATTCGGCCCGTTATGGAAACGTATCCGTAATATGGGGACATGCTGGTCTAGAAGTGAGACTGCTGTGGTTCTCGAGGATTAGAAATTTCTCAGATTGCTCTGCTCATTTGTAGTAACTTCTAATTTAGTATTCAAGAATCGTACCCCAGTGACTGTCTGTGAGCCGAGTTTGAGATACTGCCAAGTTTCAGGAGAACCTGTTTCTTCACTTTCTGGTTGTTATTGGTAATATATTTCTGGTGGATCGTGCATCGTAAGAATCGAAGAACTCACAGTTTATCTGGAAATCTACTGCTTGCATGCAGGAGAAGGATCCAGACTACCAGCATTCCAAAGGTCGATTGTGCGTCAAAGAGGTCATGATCAGGTCAAATTCGATGTCCGGAAGGTACTCATGGATCGACTTGACTTTGATGATTCCGTTTGATGTCAGTATAGGTTCCGGAGGTGATCTCCAGATGTCGATCGATTTACTTTGTGGATGCAAACCACGAAATAATTCCAACTTGTTCTCGTGTTTTCTGGCGTCTATTCAGTCTTGCAGAAAAGGTTTCTGCACTTCTCAGTGTCAGGCAACTGTCTTTCAAGATCCTAGACTTGAACCTTGATCTAGCAGCAAACTTCTCACACTCCGCCGGTTGATGTTGTACCTGGGCTGGCTATGGGACGGAAGCACTCTATATACCAGGTTTCACGCATGAACAAACAATAGGTCACGAACGACTTGATATTCTGATTTGATCTTTTTCTGTTAGCTCGAATGGGGATTGACGTAGCTTAAACATTTCGAATACGGAGGTTTCCCACTGCATGGTACATTAGAACGCAAGGACGGGTTATTGTTGCAAGTGCGTCTTCTGGCACATTGTTCAGAGCCAGAAACTATGATGGAGTTGTAAACTTGCGGAGTAATTAGACCGTCATTACAAATATAATTAAGAATATTCTCGATGCAGAGAAATCTCAAATTGATAGCTGGCATCCATCTAATCAGTTCACATTCAGATTTCTAAATTATCATCCTAATATTTAAATTTGTTCTTTCATACATTATTTTGGTTTCTAAATTAATCAGTTCAATCTAGGGCTCCGATCGGGTCGGGTTTAGTTGAAGGTCAAACCGAACCCGACCTGAAAAACCGGGTCGGACTCATTATCGAGAAGTGACGGCGAGTGGAGGAACGGTGAGGGAGAATCGGTAAATTGCTTCGAGTATTTTCTTGAGAGGAGTCGATGCGAGAAATTTTAGAGGGGGTAGGACGAGAAGCATAGGTAGCGCAGAGCGCTCCAGCTAGACTCAGAACCGAGAGAGCAAGGTAGCCGGTTCCCGTATCGAGCGAGGTGCGCAGCAGGCGGGACGAGGAGGAGTGCCAAACACGAGAGGAGGAGAGACGGAGTGGAAGCCGATGCAGACAACCAAGGACCAGCCGGGCTTGCACCTGAGCTCTTATAGGTCGTTGCTCTATTATTTTTCGGGTTTCGGGTCCGGTACAACCCGCTCGGAGCAACTAGCAACTACAAATTTAACTAATAAGTTATGCAGATGCTTGAAATTACATAGAGTATTAAAATATGTGACCCATGTATAACTCACGATGATAATGCACCTGCGTCAAATTAGACGGAGCTTTGAGCAAATGGACTTTTGTTCAATGTAAAAACTGATCTCCCTACGTCAGTGGCTCAAGGGCACACGCAAAGGTAATGTCAATTGACATATCTGGAAGACAACCTAGGGTACAAACGACCTAATCTAGGAACTTCAGATACTGCATGAGCTCATGTACGCACTATCCAGGCACCCTAGCCGAGACTTGTGAGTCGGTGGCAAATGATGACATCAAAGAAAGTTCATCTGATTCTCCTTGAACGCCTGGGCTACCAGCATAGGTATCCACGTAGTCTTCGTCCTCTGTTATGCTCGACACGTATGGTGTCTGGAGTTTTAGCTCGTTGACGACGTCCACACCTACACTTGCATTTGAGTTCTTCATGAGGACGCTCACCAGTTCAGACACCGTTGCGCGTTTCTTGGGATCTGTTTTCAGACAAGGCAGAGCCATGTCCACCACGAGCAGGACTTCTTCTTCGTCGTAATAACCCTCTAATCTTTTATCGACCAAGTTCAAAACCTTGCCTTCCGTGTACAACACTATAGCCTGCGCATTTCATAAGGTTGTGAGAGGCCGAAGAGGATTATAGCAGTGATCAGATTCACGCCTGTATTCTGATGAATGAAATTGGCAGGAGTAGCAGAGAAAGGAGGCAGATGAGTGTCTCCTAAAAGCCTGAAGCTTTATGAGCTGGGTTTGGAATGTTCGTGCTGTAATGTTGCAGTGTAATTTAAGAATCACCCACCCAGGAGCGTAGAGTACTTTGTTCCTCTGGAAACTTCAGATCGATGCACTGTCTTCCAGCAACGATTTCCAGCAAGACAACACCAAAGCTATACACATCCAGTTTCTCGGATACGACACCTTCTATTGCATACTCTGGTGAAAAGTAGCCCCTGTAGTTTCATGGAAAGTCATCCAAATTGTTAGTGCCTTGCTCTTAGGGCACTTCACATTCAAGTCTCAACTGCGAGTCTCACCAATTGAGTGCAACTGTCGTGCATTTGATACACATGAACCAATTCGCCCTCTAGAAGTACCTCGTTCCTGGAATGTTAAGGGTGAGTTGAGTGTCTTTTGAATCATTGGCGGGCAGGACGAGTCCAAAGTCGGCAATCTTTGCGTTGTAATTCTTGTCCAGAAGAATATTTGCCGGCTTTATGTCTCTGAGATTTCAGAGGCGGGTGTCAGTGTATAAAGCGGAGAAATCACACACCTCAAAATAAGCCCTAAACGAAGCACAAGCATGCAGAAAACTCCATGATATGTGTCTTCGCATCTCATCACGGTGTAATGCACAAGTTCAAGCTGCTTGAAATGTCGTACATCATGAGCTTTCGGTGTTAAAACACGTGCTCTTCTCATCTTTTTAGATTTGTCTTACACAGAACAGAATCAAAATGTGGAAGGTTTTCTGATGAGGTTGGAGTCTAAGCATTCTCACCTGTGAATCATACCCGGCTGCAATTCTTCATGTAAGTAAGCAAGTCCACGGGCTATTCCCAAGCATATGTTGTAACGTTGTTTCCAGTTCAAGACGGTCGCACATTGAGGACCTGATCCTGTTGGTCAGCGGCATACATAAAACTCTGAGATAATCAGCATATGCTTCGTAGTGTTTAACCGCATGCTCTCTGATCTATTATACAAGAGAGTCCGAAGAAAAAAACTCTCCCCTTCTAAGTCTGACAGATGCGCAGGTTACTTAATATCCGATACATCCAATTGAACCCTTCGTAATAAAAGCTCAGAATCCTCCCAAACAAGCAATGGAGCCCATTCTTCTTGCTCGCTAGCTTAATGTACATGAAAAAACTTCTCTCTATTGTGATTCTAGTAGATACGTTATCATTGAAGAACTCAATATTCTCTCACCAAACAGTGCTTCTGCGAGGCTCTTGTTCTCCGCGTATTCGTAAATCTGCATTCGTTGGTGATCCCTTACACAACATCCCTTGAGTTGAATCAGATGTCTATGTTTGATACCCGAGATGTTTACCATTTCTTTCAAGAAGTCTGACGTACTGTGCTTTGTCGGAGTGAGTCTCTTCACAGCAACAACACTGCCATCTGCTAGTTCAGCCTGTCATAGACAATTACTTGTTAAACTTCGATGGGCTCCCTCCACTGTCTAGACCTTCTGAATCAAACAGATGACTGTAAATTCCGGATACAGACTTACTTTGACAGAAAAAATGAATGAAATATCATCACCATTGTTTATAGAGGCTTTAGAGATGTGCATATGACAATGTCGGGAGTATTACCTTGAAAACAGTGCCAAATCCACCTTTTCCTAACTCGTTGGAACTAGAGAAATTATTCGTAGCCGTTTTGAGTTCTTCGTAACTGAAAAACGGTGGCTTCACATGCTCTTTTGCTAAAGCTGAGAAAAGTCGAGGTTACTACTGTTATCACATCTTCATCATCGTCATCACAGCAATGATCAAATTCCTATGGAATTCAATCATTGCTGATCCGCAAAGATCATGGAATTAGCCCTTCCACAAAGAAAATGCACTCCTGCACAAAACTCAGACTCAAAGGTCGAGGCCTACCACACTCCTGTTGCACCACTCTAATACGTATGATATACAGATCAAAGACAAAAAGTCTTTGACATAATTTCTGCAAATTCACGCTCACCACCAAACTCCACTAGTTTTCTATTTCCTCGGATTTTCATTTCAAAAAACTTCTCAGATCAACGTAGGCTTTGGTATCACTTTAGAAGAGAATTATTGACTAGTTATAGTGATAAACACAAACAAATAAACAAGACAAATACACATGACATTGACACATACACATGACAAATACACATCCAGTGGCAAAGTAAAATGACTTTGATATATAATATGGAGCGCGGGGCGAAAAAACGATTTCGCACCGCTGTTTAGGTTTGTTCTGTTTGTTCGCAACCGCTCGCATTCGGGGTTTAAATACCCCGGTTGGAGTATTCCCAACCTAAGTACAGACGACTCAAATTAGAAATTTACTCCTAATATAGAGTTAACCGCAACAAATAATTTAAATTTTATTTCATAGTTGTAGATAGATTTAGATGATTATTGTTTTACTTATTGGACAAGGTTTTTCCAATTCAATGTTATGAGTTTTTTGGGAAATTTTATAACTAGAGCCAAAAGTTTGATACATTTGCTAATCATACTAAACTATTTTGATTTCTTTTTTATAGATTATTGAATTTAAAATCAGAAAGATGTTGAGAAAATTTTATTCATATGTTGTAGATGACTTTTCATCATTGCAACAAGATGTATATTCATTGTGTCAAATTTACTGGCATTCCGAATTTAATATATTATTTCAAAGGTGATAATTCGAAAAGAAACTCATGATTGTTCTTAATCATTGGTATTTTTTAGTATCAACAAATTATTAGTTATAGTGATAAACACAAACAAATAAACAAGACAAATTATTAGTTCATTTTTATGTAAACTAGATTCATGTTTTGGCCATTTCAAGCTTGATTTTCTTTATTTTGAGCTCGATCTATGAAAACTTTCATCAAATAGTGTTTGACTTATTTGTCAATTTATAATTTCAAAATACTCAACCAAAATGATTAAAAGAGCTAGTATTTTTTATAATTTTTCTGGAAGAAATTTGATAGATTTTTATTTCAATATATTTTTAATTATTTGCATGAATGATATTTTTTACTAATTCTATCATTTCATCTTTGGATTCTTATTCTTTGATTAGTTTACAAATTAATATTCATATATATAATTTCATAAATACAAGATTGTCATATGTGATTTTTTTTAAACTAAAATCATTTTATAAATTGATATGAAAACAAGAACTATTGCAAGCAATTCATCTATAATCAATTCATATTTTATTTAACAAATTTATTATTCATTTTAATTTTAATTTATTTTTAAATTAAAAATACATGTTACTAGTTAAAGTTTGATAAATTCAAATTTTCACTAATATTAATTATTTTACAATATAATAACAATTTAAATTTCAAATAAAGATATTTTAAATAATTAAATTTCATAATTTAATGATATTCAATAGTTAATAACATTCTATCAACATATCTTTATCAAGTATATTTTTATATTTATAAAAATAAATTAATTTAAATATCTTCACACATATAATTATAAAAATTTCATTTATATATTAAGTGAAAATAATTTAATTTAACTTGTATAATTTTCATTATAATTTATAATATATAATGAAATTAAAATTTTATGCAGATGTATGAATACCATGAAAATTCAACTTAAATATTTTAATTTAAAATTATAATTTCAAAATTTTAGATTTCTATATATAATTTAAAATTTGTATTCCATAATGTTATTTCTTAATATAAATTTATATGATAAACACACTCATAACATAAATGTACTGAATTAAGAATTCCGAATAACGATTCGCCCTGAAACCACACCAGATTCTATTTTCAGTTGCCGATTTGACTCGGCTTCCTGTTCGAGGGCAGAGTCCCACAGGACTCCGACCCTTCCAATTCAATCACTCACTTCAGCTGCAACTTCGAATCCCCGCCCGATCGAGACGCTGATCATCGGTAGATGTGGATGTACTTTGAATGTAGAATTCTATCTCCCTGCACCACCAAGGCTCAGATCGACGACCAGACGAGCCTTGCACTCAAGCACATGCAAAGAATGAGTTTCTTTCCACTGCGTAGCTTTCCATTCACATGGCTATTGACTTCACGTCAGCTCGTATTCACTACTCACTCCGCTCTTAACTGGAATCTCGTATCTGTACGAGATTGGACGAAAAAAGTCGTTATCCCTACTATGAACTTGGTCAGAAATTAAAATCAACATCGCAAACCAACAATATTTGAAAGTCAGACTTTTGCGATGCGAGTAGTGAGAACATGCTCAGGTTAGACTGCAACAAAGTTGGGGTTCATCTGCTTGCTTGGAGAATCAATCTCTCCACGGTCAGGAATGACATACGTCATTCGATTCTTGCTCCCATGCGTCTAGATTCAAATACGAATGCTGAGACAAGTTGACGCGATGAATGTCCAGTTGTCAAACTGTGAACCCAATCCTCTCAGATTCTCAGGTCTTCTCCCGATCCAAGTGAGTTGGTTACCGCAGATGTGCAATCCTTGGTTGATTCACGTCAATTTGCCCAACCCATTCGGCACTCGGACTCTTGAGTTCACAGAGCCAGGCGAGACCTCGGAGGAGTCGAATAACTACAATGCAGGAGGTGCGCTGTTCACCTAAATTTGCCAAACACTCGGGCCCTCGCAGAATAAATACTCACTCGGGCTCTTGAGTCTGTAGAGAGAGGCGAGACCTTGAAAGAGTCAAACGACGAGATTGCAGGTGGTGCGGTGCGCACCCAAATCTGCCAACAATCAAGCCCTCGCAGAAACAACAGACACAGCGGCACAAACTAGCGAAAGCATCTTCCCGTTCTTGCACAACTCGAAACCCCTCTCCCAATAAAATCTGTTGGGCAATTGTTTTGAAGGGCACAAATCAGATTGAAAAGAAGGCCCTCGCAATCCTTCTGGTCCACGGCATTTTCTTGAGCAAGGTGAGGAAATTGTATGCAAAATCAACAGATTTCATAATTCACCTTCGCTGCTTACCAACTTTTGGAAGACTGGAGAATGTTTCTTTCTCTGCTCAAGGAAAGGATGAATAACAAATCAAGACACCCAAAAAAGCTGGAGCTGCAGGCCCGAAAAAGGTTCCAGCAACAGACAATCACCGAGATCGAATGATTGTTAAGACCTCGGATTATCACATGCTCTCTTTCTTTTCAAGTCGCTAATGATACAACAAAATGGTCCCATACTCAATGATTTCCAAGGGGCTATTTCCTTTCTTGCTTCGAAAGTTCAAATTCACTGAGTCCACTTGAAGACAGCTGCGAACTTTCTGTTTCCGACCATGGCAGGCCTAGGGTGGAGCTTGAGGTAGATGTGTAATAGGAATTGTTCAATTGTCCATCATCAAGTGGAACCATAGAGTACTCTTTTGAAAAGGTAACCTTCTTCGTCAGGCTCTTAACCATTTTTGAAACTGAGGTCCTTGTCTTTGTCTTTTCTCGAATAGTGTGTAGTTCCGAAGCCACTTCTTTCATAGTTGGCCTATCCTGGCCATCCCTGCTTACACACTTCAATGCAAGCTGCAATACGAGCTATGTTAGTGAGGAGGGCTTTGATTGGTAATAATAGGAAACCAACGACAACACTACACGGGATATCACAGGAGGACGTATGTTCAGGAGTGTTGTCCAGGAGAGAGATTGATACCTTGGCAACTGCATCGATGGCTTCCAGGGTGTCTGGGTTCTCAACAGCCTCTGACAACTCTGGATCAATGATATCTGCGAAAAGACCCTGTGCTCAACCAGGAAAAGTAACGTTACATCATATTAGTAAAAAGATATTCTAAGTCCAACAGAGAGTGAGATGCTTGAGAAACTTAGATGAGTGCAGACATCTCGTCTTACGCAGGTGAGAATTTCCGTCGGTGACTTCGAAATTCAGTTGAGAATTTCAGTATTAAGTCGAATCAGTTCGAGAGGAGCAAGTAAAACATATACGTACCTAGATATATATAGCACACTTCAACGTAGCCTAGCTACTTTGTGCAAACACATTATGCTCATCTAACGTCTGAATCTGCTGCCAACCAAAAATGCAATCGAGCACGTCGAAGACCCAGCGGTAAGCCCTTGGCGAGGGACAATAGGTCTAAGAAATCTACGAACCTGAGTCATCAAACGGTCGCATCTGTTGACAAGATTTTGATCCTTAGGCTGTCTCTTAAGATCCACTGGTCTCTGCCCAGTGAGAATAACGAGTAGCAGTACACCGTAACTGTATACATCTGATTTGTCCGTTAACTGCAGGGCACAAAGAAGCCAATGCAAGACATGAGTTCCGGTGACATATTCCAAGGGAAGTCATACTTCCAGAATTGTAAACTCGTCAACGAGTCGAATGGCTGAACTCTGATGTTCAGTGTGGAACGACTTTTCGAACTGAGGCAACAACGAGATCTTCAGCTTGGGTTGGAGCTGACCTCGTACTGGTCTAAAAGCCCTGGGTCCTGTAGGAATCAAGGCATGAACTTTAGTATATGGTGAATGTTTCCGAATTTTCCGAGACCGCGGAGAACAGGTAAACTCAGAAATGAGGAAGAAGAAATCTTGGTAGGAAGTAGAATGTGGTCTGGGATTGGAAAGTTTCACTGGGAAACTCAGCCAAAAATATAGTCTCGATAGATAATCAGCCGCGGAATCACAGATTTTAGCAAACTAATTTCCATGCTTTAAAGCGACTGATCATGATTGATACTTTCATCTTGAAAGATACATATAGTACCTGAATATGAACGAAGTTGACTTACCATATAGCCAGGAGTACCTGCAGAAGCAACGAACAAAACAACTTCAAGGAACGAACATCATCCTGGAACATCGTTGGTGGAATAAGTGCTCAACGTGTTTTCAGCCAAGCCAGCGATACATCCAGTTGGACTAGCATTTTAAACAACCGAAACACATCTGTTCATCCGTTATAAACTGAGTACATTTAGTAAGAAAATTGTAGATCGAGAGAATCATAACCGCGGTCACAGTAGCTCGTACCTTGTATTGCAGTTGGGACCGCATATGCATCTGTGTCCTCGAGGGGGACGAGTTTTGACAAACCAAAATCAGCGACTTTTACGTTGTGCGTGTCATCCAGAAGAATATTGGCGCACTTGACATCTCGATGGTAAACAGGTGGAGACGTTCCCCAGTGGAGATATGCCAATGCCTCCGCTGTCTCAATTGCAATCTTCAAGCGTAAAGTCCAATTTAGGGGTGGATGACAGAAGTAGCTATTGTCGTCAACCAATGCCTCAGAGGACCTCTGAGCTTCCGTTGGGCGTGTCATTTGGATGTGTTCGTGCAAATTGCCATTAGAGACGAATTCGTATACCAGGACGGGTACCCGTGTCTCCAAGCAGCATCCCAGCAAGTTCACGAGATTCCGATGATTCAATTGCGACAGAATGACAATTTCATTGACGAACTGTTTCGCCTCGTGTCGTGTCTCGCCCATTCCGTGTTTGGCCTTCTTGATGGCCACCTTGGTTCCGTCCCGCAGGGTTCCTTCGAATACGGTGCCGAATCCTCCAGCTCCGAGCTCGACCGAGAAGTCTTTTGTTGCCTCTCGAAGCTCGCTGAAGGTGAAAAGTTTGCAGTATTTGGCACCCTCTTTGTTCTCGATCTCATTCAGCAGCTCTTGCTGTGAGAAAATTGCTGGATCGAACGCAAGCCGCCTCCTCCGAAAGAAATACCACAACAGGATGCTGTTGATGATGATGAACGCTATCACACTACCGACACTCACACCTGTTATGCGAATTGCGACAACGCATCGACAGTTGGCGATGATACTAGGTCAGAAATCTTGCACTTCACTTGTCTTGAACCTCACTCATACTTTCCGCGCTTCACATCAATTTATAAACTGGACATAGCGAAACTGGAATTTCGGCAAATGGATGGAAGCAGTGATTCGCGGACGAAAAATGAACAAAAACATGAAAAGTACGCACCGATTATGACGGGCAAATTGGAAGTCTCTTTGATTGTGCAACCAGTTCCCTTTACGCGCCCGTCTCCGAAAGTTCCACCTTGGCAAGTGCAATTTAAATCGCCAGAGCTGCTGTCGAAAGTACACTGAGCATCTGGGGAGCAGACTTTGGTCGTATTTTTACACTGATCGATCCCTGCTCGTGTCAATTCACAAACCTCTCTTGAATCAAACTGTGGTCCGTGAATTCAGATTGACGATTGTCAGGGAAGAATCCCTGACAATCGACTGGCGGGCCTCAAGTGACATCCTCTACTCAATCTCAGCTTCAATGTCGGCACTAAGGAATATGGAAGGAATATGGAATATCAGGTCAAGGGCAACTTACGAGTGCAATTGTTGCCACGAAAGTCCAGCTGGGGATCTAGACCATTGCCTTACATTAAGTCAGGGCATTTACACCAATAGCTCCCATTGGTGTTGACGCATGTAGCAATACTGGAGCAATTGTTCGACCCTAAACACTCGTTGATATCTGGCATGAGCACTAGTCATGTTAGACAAGGGATTCCCAACCTTACAGTCGAGTCTCCGACCTTATCAAGTCAAAAGGATCCGATAAATTTGAAAGCTTTAAGTTTCAAGGAGACAGTGCGGCATCTTCGCTGTGCAGTACCAAGATTTCCGCAACCGGCCGAAAATTTTAGTGTGCAGAGGAAGAGGCTGAGGCATGCCATGCATCTAGTGAAACGATATAAGCGGCAGTTCCGGTCTCGGGAATCGAACTAGTAGGTTCTCATCTGAGGCTTAGATTTTCATGGTAGTCAAGGATCAGGAATAAGACGGACACAAATCGCAATCCTAGATTATTAATGAGAAAATTATCAGCCTCAACTTGCCTTCACAAGCAGTGCCATTTTTATAACCATGTCCCGCGTAGCCCTTTAGAAGGCAATCACAATAGTAGCCGACGCTCGCAAAGTTGGTGCAATTTGCAGACATGGAGCATTCATACTTCTCAGAATCCTTTGCAGCTTCAGAGCAGTTGTGAATTTCCGGCCCCTCTGGATGGAATACCACACATGGAAACCGTAGTGTCCCACACCAACATCTCCCCCTCCACCAAATGACTCTGGATACAAAACGGTGGAGAAGCCACAATTTGTCCACTGTGCGAACCCTATTCCTTCCCCTGTCATCGTTAGTGTCTTGGTCGCTCCAATGGTCTGAATGCAGCAGTCATACAGGCTACAGTACGGCATCACGAACTGGTTGACACACGAAACTGGACCGCGCGTCGTGCTGAAACCGTCACTCCAAGGAGAACGATCACCCACAGCCGATCCTTGAGCATTGCAAGATACGACGATGAAGACGTTCTGCTCAGAAATCCAGTAGGGGCTTTGCGCGTCCAGAGTAAGGCTGGCAGTAATAATTTCCCAGCAGCCCATCGCTTTGATATTCGTCGTATCTATGAGGATGAAGTTAGATTGTATTTGCGTTACTGGCAGAAAATTCACCTCGAAAGATCCATTAGTTGTGGTGTCATTGCTGAAACGTTGTCCGAGAGTGGATGTGGCCGCTATGTGAGTCAGAACCGGCCACGGACCTGGTAAATGCGACGTGAGATTTGCTCCCAGGTCGGTACTGCAGTCCAGCACAAAGTAGGAGCTGAAGGCGCATTATGGTGAAAGTCCGAAGGGGTAGGGGATCGAGACGCTGCCACAAAGTCTCTGACAGTCCGACCCATTGGATTGCAAATGCAGCCGGGCACTCGAGCCTGTCGCAGGTCTCTTCTCCGCACAGCGTCGGTTGTCGAATTTTTGCAATGCAAGCAACGCGAGCACCGAGAGCGCAAGCAGAGCCACTAGATATCTTCTGCGGTTCGTCTTCATTGTTCGCCCACCACAATGTTTCCAACAGTCTGAGTTCTGATCCATCTCATGTTTGACCGGCATGGACCACAGATGCCCTCGCGGGAAGCCGATTTTGTTTTGAAAATGGTGGCCGGTGTATGTTCTGTACCTTGGCAGAAAGGTCGACGTCTTAAGATTTCGAAAACAGATCGATCATACTTCGAGAACTGGGTTGAATCAGCGACGTTATCTACGTATTTTTTTTTTGTTGGGTTTGAACAGAGATGTCTCGGAGAGCAAGCATCCGGACTAGCTAGCTCTCTCTGTTCACTTGAGCCCTGGGGCACACTTCCCCCTTTTTCTTCTGACTACAACCGAGACAGTCAATGCATTTATGCACGTTTCCGAAGCGCAGCGAAGCGAGCGTGATTCATTGTCGTCTATGCCCAGTCCTTGCGCGCTGGATGGTACCGGGAATCGCTTAGGACTCGGCTCAAAGTTTTCTTCACATAACCGAAGACGATGTCTTCGTGTTCACTCTCTGCGGGAGGGGGACTACTTCGTCGAAGAAATTCCCCCTCCTGGCAACGTCACGCACGAAAATATACTCCTCCAGCTGCAAGTTGGTAATCTGTTGAATGCTTTTCCGTCCAGACATATAGAATTGGTTTCCTCGTAGACTCATGTTGGTCAATTTCATTTGGTGTCTGGTCTACGCGTATTAGATTCATGATTGTCCTCTGTTCGGAACATTCTGGTGAGCATAAGTTGACAGTTTTAGCTGAGTACTGACTTTCCACATCCCTTGGGAGGCGATACCCACCTTTTCATACACGAACCATCCATACAACTGACTCCTTGAGCCTTGGCAATGCATATCTTTGATAGCAAATGCTTCCATCCAAGCTTTGCCTCCGAGTGGTAAGTGATCAAAACTGGGAAGAGGCTGATTGAGTTGGGCCATCGGGCAGACCTCTAACAGGTTTGCGTGACACTACAAGGTGACACTACCTTTCTAACTCAATCAGCCACAGTTCCAAGGTCCAGCACAATAGTTTGATTCCCTTCACAACCTTCGTCGTACTTTCAATCATGTCTTCTCTATTCGTTTTCTCTCCCGAGATCCAACTCAGCTCGACAAACCGAGGACAGCGGCCAGCACTTCTGCATGGAACTTAGGTTTTACTAAGGAAAGATTGATAACATCAAATTTGGCCCACTTTGGTCTTGTGAGAGTTGTGACGTGAGGACTGCTCAGTTTATCATGTGCAATGAAATGACTTGGTCCTTAATCCTTACCTGGTAAGGCATCAATTATCAATTAAGTTGACTACATTTCCGGTGTATCGTGGTAAGCCTTACCAGGATACCTTCCTGATTTCTGTAAACTTCAGGGTGATGACGGGAGGGAGGAGAATAGTTACGAAGAAGTACTTTTTCATCACTTCTTTTAAAAAAATCTGATCTCTTTGTTAAGAAACGTGAATTTATCATGAGTAGCTTGATGTACATACATTTTTCAAGTTCTTGCTTTACGTTTTGACTAAACCTTTGAAAATAATATTTATGGTTCAAGTGTTTTTTTCGATTTTCTTTAGTTTCATGCCTTTGTTGTATTTCGAACTTAGAGATTGAATGAGATAAATGATGGTGTGAAATGACACAAAATTACCCTGTTCGTGCTAAAAAATCCTTAATTTTTTTCGCCAGGTCCATCAAAGCAATTCGAGATGCACAACATCCAGTTGGTTATCTTCTGTCTACCTTTCAGTTTTAAGTAATCAATTTGAACATGCACAAAAGTGATTTAAAATCTTTTGTATTTTACGAACTGTAATAACCCACCAAAGGCTAAAACTGCAGTATGGTGGTAAAAAGATCGAACCCACAGGGACAGAGGCAACACACAGAGTAAAAGTGTCACGGTTAACAGACTTTTGTAGAGTTTGAATTCTAGGCGACTGTCACTCCCAGAAATACTGCAGTGCTCGACTCGGAGGCTCGACTCGGAGGAGGATCTCAACTCGGAGGATGCTCGGAGGATGCACGGTACAGCGTGGTCACTCAACACACACACACACACCTGAAACTGGCAAAAAGCACAACTCGGAGGTCGGTCAGGACCTCCGCTTCGGATTTCAGGAGGAAAGTGTCTTGTAAGTTCACTCAGAGGTTCTGCAGGAAGTGCCTCCCACTCCGGCTTTTACTGCCCTTCCGCCAGGAACTAGCGGGGGTACCCGGACTGGACTTCTCACTTCGGAACGAAGCCTCTACGTACGCCGTGGACGTCACCCTCGACTATCACACAAAACGCAGGGAGTGCAGACCCGACTGAGAACTTACTGAAAACACGATCCAGTAACACACACACAACCTGAATTACAAACCAAGGTTTACACGAAGTAATGAAACTTCACATTGGCATTCAGGGGAAACTTCCCGTAGGAGTACAATCAGGATATGTCACTCGAAGGAGTAAGGGGGAACTGTTCAAGTATCTAACTCGCAGCCGGCTCTGAGCATCAGAAATCACCCGCAGGTGCAGATCCGCACTACTCAAGTCTCTAACCGGGTGCTAGCTCTGAACATTCGGCCGAAGGCCTTCAACTACAACATACGGTAACTTCGCTATGCTGCAGCTTCTCTACGTGGTGCCAGGACCAAAATGCACAAACACGCCAAGAAAGTGAGTTCCTGATCTGCACTTCCGAAACTGGAAGAGTCCCAAGGCAAAACGCCTTGATCTACTTTATACTCTCAAAAGATCCTAACTAGCACTACGCTATCCTATCTACCACTCGCAGCATCTGCGCGAAACCAAACTACTCTACTGCACTCAGCAGATCCGGTGCTGCGCCTCCTGCGCGCCGGACTGCTCCGCTTACTGTCTCTACCTTGCCAGTCTTCCGACCGGCTGCGTAACCCCAGGCGTCGGAGCGCTGCAGTGACTTCCGACTGCAAGTGCGCCATAGTGTCGCGCGCACCCGACAAGAAAGTTTCTAATTTTCTCGCCACTCGCCGCCGACTCCGACTGTCACCTTCCGTCAAGGCCGCCGCCCGAAGCTCGAACTCCCGGAGGGTAACCCTCTCTTGAGCTGCCACCTCCCAATGGGTGTATACGTTTAGACAACGAGTCACCCGTGCCGCCAACTCTCCTCGTGCCCTGCAGCTGCTCTCCACCTCTGCCAGCTGCATTTCTAATTCCGCACGTTGTGCCCTCAAATCCGAGCACTCGGTTTGCAAGTTGCGCAACAACTCCTCATCCTCCTTGCGGGCTCTTTGACTTTCTTCTAAGGCGCGCGTCTGGCGCGCAAGCTCGGCTGCTAGGACTTTGTTCTGTCTCCGCTCCTCCTGCAAGTCCGACTCGATCTTTGCCCGTATTAGCTCGGCCTCCGCCTGACTCTTCGTCGCCGCATCCTCCTTCTGCTGCTGCAAGGCTTGGTATAGCTTCTGGGTGACCGCCAGGTGTTGTCGGAGGGCGGTGTTCCTATCCACATATACTCCGCACCTAGAGGCCCACCTTGCCACCTTGCTCCTCGTCCTTCGCCTGATTGTCTCCACATAAGACTGCGGTTTTAAGGCACTTGCGTATTTGGATGTCTTGCGATCTAGATATCGCAGGAGTGGAACTATCTGTTCGCACAGCACCCCTGTTGGCGTTTTCTGCACCGAATCCTCTTCTTGCTCTTCCGAGCTCGTCTCATCCTCAGTCTCGAGGATCTCAGTCGCCACCGAATCCCTTGTCGACTCCCTGGAACTGTGGCGCGCAGCAGCTTCCGCTGCGACTGCTGCTCCACTGCCTGCTAAAATATCCAGGGCAGTGGGAGATCCCACTGCTTGAGCCCCTGTTCCGGCTTGATCTTCGGTTTGTGAAGGGGTCGACGCCGCAGTGACTTTTGTCACTCTTGATCCGCCCGCTTCTGCTGCCTGTCCTTCCGGCGCAATCTGCGCGGAAGGTGTCCTTGCTGAAGGTGCGTCCGCCGAAGGCGTCCGCACACTCGTCGTTGGCCCCATCCGTCTCGCAGTCGGCGAATCCGGCTGACTCTCTGTTGTCCGACTCGCAGTCGGCCGACCAGCAGTTGTCCGACTGGGAGTCGGATTCACCCTGCGCGTCTTGACTCCACTTGGCCTGCTTGCTGGTGGCGTTCTTCCAGAAGTGCCTTCCGCCGAAGACGACCCTCTGAGGATTGTTGGCTCGTCAGCCAAACTCTCTTCTGCTTCCGGCCTGCTGTCCGGTTCAACGCGCCGTTCAGTTGGCCTTCCTTCCGCTTGTCGACCTTCAGTCATCCGACTCGCAGTCGGCCGGTCGTCAGTCCGTCCATCTCCTCCCGAAGGCCGTGGTGCCTTCTGTGCAGAGGTTTCTGCCGTCTTGCCTAGGATCTGAGCGATTATCTCTTCCTGTGTGAGATTCCGCCGGGTCGGAGTTCGCCTGGTCTCCTCAGTAACAGTTGGCATTTTGCGTGCCCTCTGTTTTGGTCGACTGTGAGGCTCGGGGGTGGGCCGACCACGAGTCGGCGCAGCTGGCACTTCCGGCTGCCTGTCCTCAGGTCTCTCATCCCACTTCCGCTTGCGCGGAATGCGCTCACTTCGACGTT